GACTGTGAGTGACTAGTTGGTGTTTCATGATTGCAGAGAACTTACGTTTGCAGAGTGACATATTTATACCAATGAATTTCCACACTAATGGAAGGGCATTTCCCACCCTAAAACAGGCAGCGTAAGGCTTGCCCACTCAATGAAGCAAGACATGTTCAGTCATTGTCTACTCAGCATTTGGTACTAGGCAGGAAACCAAAATAAAAAATAATCTCAGGCCACTTCTATTTATCCCCTTAATAATAATAATAATAATAATAATAATAACAACAACAACAACAACAACTCTTTGTAGAGTACCTATTATGTGCCAGGCCCTGTACTAATAAGTTTATAGATATTATTTCTAATAAAGCAACCATAAAGCTACTATTACCTATTTCACAGATGCCAAATCTTACCTGGAGTCAGAGAGCTAATAAACGAAGGTGCACACTTTAAGCCCTTCTGCCAGGCCCCAAAGCCCACCTCTGCAATATGTTCTACATCCAACCTGCCTGCAGTTTTTCCTTTTCTCTTCATCTGGTCTGAGCTGCACTGAGTCTCATAGATGGCTGTATATATCAGACAAGGAACAACTCTTAATTTCTGCATATGCTTTCCCATACCTGTGCAGGAAACCATTTATTCATTTAACAAATATGTATCAAGGGCTGACTTAGTGCCAGAATTATTCTCAGCCCCAGGAGCACAGAAGTTCATAAAACACAGAGCTTCCTTCCCTAATGGAGCTGACACTCCACGAAGAGATAATAATAAAATCAATATGCATAATATACAGTGTGTTAGACAGACAGTGATAATGCTAAGGAGGCCAAGAAAGCAGGGAAGGAGGCTAAGAGTGCATCACATGCAAGTGGGAAGGTGACATGTTTGAAAAGGCCTGAAGACAATGAGGGAGCAGCTTCTTCCAACCCCCCATTATCTGGGCCAATAACTTTCTGGGCAGAGGGTTTGAGGAACTTCTGGGAGGCCGGTAAGAAGTGGAGTGAGCACAGGGGATCATGGTTGGAGATTAGGCCAAAGAGATATTGAGGTGCCCTGGCTGGTGTGGCTCAGTTGGTTGGAGAATCGTCCCACACACCAAAAGGTTGCGAGTTTGATTCCTAGTCAGGGCACATACCTAGCTTGTGGGTTCAATCCCTAGTAGGGGTGCCTATAAGAGGCAACTGATCCATGTTTCTGTCTCTTTGCCTCTCTCCAACCGCCACCCCCCCCAAAAAAAATCAATAAACATATCTCTGGATGAGGATTTTAAAAAAAGACATATTGGGGTGGGGCTGGAGGTGGGGCCTGGGATGGAGGGAGAACTTTGGCTTTTGCTCTAAGTAAAATGGGAACTGAGGAAGACACAATGTGACTCCTCCCTCTTCCAGGTTAAGAGGCTAAAATCATCTGGGCAACAGGTGATGGTGGCTTGGAACAGGGGGTGGGCAGTGGAAGTGGCCAGTCATAGTTAGATTCTAGGTCCCCATGAAGGTGGAGTGGGCAATTTTGCTGATGACTTGAAAGACAGAAGAATGGAGAACAATGACAAAGTTTTGGCCTTAGCAGCTGAATGAAGCCAGTAGATACTCATGAAGGGTGGCCGCAGCCTGGGAGGAGCAGAACTGGGGGGACTATCTTGAGCTCTGTTTGGCCACCTCATGTTTGAATTGCCTGTCAGAATCATCTGGATGTGTCTACAGGCAGCTGTCCAGACTTTTCTGCTAGGAAACTCTTAGAAGCCTGTCTCCGCATTCGTCATCTTAGTCTGAGCTTCCCCGGCACGAATTCCCCCAGACTCACCCACTCCTTATCTCACATCCTACTACCTGATTCTGTGTCTTCCTCTACTCAAGTTCTCCCACTTTTATTTTTCCTTTAAGAATTAGTTTGCTGACCTTGGGGTTTACAAAAAGCATATAGGTAGTTACCAGTTTTCTCTCTAATTCCCAATGGATATTCCATTCATTCATTGGACAAAATAAGTACACACTCAGTGTCAGGCATGTGTCTAAGAAAACGGTGTTGTGGTGGAGCCAACTGTCATTTACATTCTAGAAAACGCCCTTTAAAAAAAATGATTTCAGAGGAAGAAAAAGAGAAAGAGAAGGGTGAGGGGAGAACAGTGCCGTGAAATACCTCCTTATACATGCCCAGACCAAAGACTGAATCTGAAACCAGGAATCAAACCCACCACCTTTTGGTGCATGGGATGATGCTCCAACCGACTGAGCCACACTGGCCAGGGCAAAAGACCCTTTTTTATATTCAAGTCCACATTCCCTTATAATAATGCCAAAATCCAAAAAGCTCTGAAAACAGGAAATTTCTGCTCATTTGGCACGGACTCACTTGGCAACAAATCTGACCTGAACTGACAAGAAGTTATTGATGGTTCTTATCTCCTTTAGTGGGAATCTGCATTCAATTCCATATAGATATGTGAGTGTATGTGCTGGATGTGTCCTGGATGGGGCTTCTGATACTAGGTCAGAACTTATACTAGTGTTAGTTCATGAGGGTTCCCACAAGCAAGACAGTTTCTCTGAGAACTTACTTTTTAAATAGTTTCACATTTTACAAACAAGTAGATGTGTATAAGGGGAGCATATTATTTAAGTTATTGGTCAACCTGCAGTTAATTAAAAAGACCCAAATATATTATAAGATATGACTCCTTTAGTCCCTGCAATTTTATGACAAAATAACCACACATGACTATAAAAACCCCACAATAACATCCAAACTTTTGACTCAATTATGATTAAAATTAAATTAAATATTGATCAATATTAATTTTATAACTCCAATCTGAAACTATAATTTTGATCTAAGGAATAAAAAGAGCCAGATAAACAATTTCAAAGCATCTCCATTTCTGGTGCATGGCTCATGCCAGCAGTGCTCCTGTGATAAATGTAGTTAATAGATGAATATTAAGGTAATATGTGCCCTTCACCCAGAAAGCAAATAACATCTGAATTTCCAAGGACTTGTTCTGCTAATTGGGGGTAATTAATAACTCTGCCCTGTCCTCCTGATTCCCCTTTTGAGCGTTTGACGGTTTATCTGGAAGAAGACATAAACGTACCTAAAGGGCTAAATAATTCAGTTTAGCTTTTACTGCGGGGCAAAGCATTTCTGAACTCACTCCTGACCCAAATTGGTTGGAATATCACAGGATCACAGAACTGATTATCGTTTCCGTCATATTTTATGGGAAGTCTTTTTAATAAAAACTACCAAGTCCCCTCCCATACTCCATCAAGCCTGTGGGAGAAGAAGCGCTCGCTGGTCATCATGAAAATTAACGCCCTTTTCTGGAGAGGGCTTTCCACACATTTCTCTGCTCAGAGCAGGTGAGTAGCCATTTCTAAGGTTATTTTAGAGTCAGTTCAAATCTTTAAACTTGAGTGGGTAACACCACCCCCCCTCTACTTCCCAGGACAGAGGGTAAGGGTCTTTATATGAGCAAATAAAGAATATTTCAGGACATGAAGCAAAAAGATGAAAACATATTGACAATATGTGCAGTCATAAAAAAACTGTTGTTAATGTTTTATGTCATTATTATTATCGTTATTTTGTTGGGGAAGTCAGAACTGAGAGCCTTGCATAGGTTTGATATTTTGGATTTGCAAAGATAAAGCTGATGGGGGGGGGGAACTCATGAGAGTCTGCACAGACTATTGCACAAAACAAGGAAATAATTAGAGGAAGGCATCACACGGAGACGCAGGCATGAGGTCTACGGGGGAGCGCAGCCCGGTACTCCTGCGCTGCATCCTGCCCTTGTCCCTCATTCCTGCGGGGCAGCTCGGAGGTTAAAATTATAAGGATGAACCACCCCCGTCGCCGCCCTAATGGCAGGGTCAGCTCGGCCCGGGGGACCCTTGAAATAGCCACTAGGAAACCCAACTCTCCTAGCGCAGCGGAGAGAAAAAACCCACAGCACGGAGCCGGAGGGAGCGCCGCGGCTCCTCGGGTGCGAAAAGGAAAGGAATGAAGAGCCGGGGAGGGGGTGTATGTTGGGGTGGGACTGCAGTTCACACACGCGCGCGCGCGCGCGCGCGCGCACACACACACACACACACACACACACACTCGCACAACCGCAGGAGAAAATGCCACCGAGGAGTATGGGCCACAAGTTGGGCTCTTTAACAAAATAGTAAGATAATAATACCTTTCGGTGAAACTTTTCTCGCTTCGCGATCAGTCCAAATAGGGGAGGTGCGAGGTGCGAAGGAATGTGGAGTTCAGCGGGAAGGGGCTGTCGAAGGAGCTAAAAAGCTCCAGGATTTGGGGGGCCAGGGGGGGGCAGTGAAAAACGGGTTCCCAGGAAGCCAGATTCTCTGGAGTTTGTTGTGAAAAAGTGAGGAGGAGGAGGGGTTCTCAAGACAAGCGCACCGACTTTTGGTTAAAAAGTGAGAAGGCGGTTCCAGGGGCGCCCCTCAAATTCAGGATGTGTGGGGAGTCGGCACGGGAAGAGGGTCCCCGAGCCCCCCAAGTCCAGGAATGTGGGGTTAAGGTGAAGAGTCTCCGAGGCCGTTCTAATTACAAGTCTGAGGTTAAAGAGCGAAGGGTCCCCGGGAACCCCAACTTTAGAGGTTTAGGGAGTAAAAGAAAGGAAAAGAGGCCCGCGGGCGCTTCTAATGCAGGAAGTCTAATGGAAGTTTGAGAGAGGTTGTCGGGGCGCCCCCAATCCCGAGATTTTGAAGGTAAGATTGAAAGGAGTCCCCGGGCGCGCTACCCCGGAAGTTTTATAAAAGTGAGGCGACGGATCCCCACCTCCTCCTGAGTTTGGTTAAAAGGAGGGTGGGGGTCTCAGGGAGCCCCTAAACTCAGCCGCCCCTGCGGGACTGGGGGTGCGAAGACGGGTCCCGCGGGCGCGCTGTCCGGGACGTTTAGATGAACGGTGGCGGGGTGCGAGGCTCGCTCCCATCCCCTGTCCAGGACCCTCACCGCCCCCAGCACTCCCCGTCCCGGCCAGCCCGGGCGGTCGCATCGGTCACCTGGAGTTCGGGCCGGGAGTTCGGGCAGCGGCTCCCGCGGCGGCGGCTGCTGCTGCGTGTTGGTCCCCGTTGGTAAGTAACAGTCTCCACGGCTACAGTCTCTATGGCGGCGGCGGTGGCGGCGGCGGCTCCTCCTCGAGCTCCCGCCGACCGCCTCGCGCCGCCCGCCCGCCGAGACTGGGCGGGGCGTTGTTACCGGCAACGGTTACCAGGCTCCACGCCCCACCCCTTCAACGGCCCGCCCATGCCCGCCTCCAACGGGCGCTGGTGGGCAGGGCGAAAGGTCTGGCGGCTTCCCATTGGTTGAACGCTGTGCCTGTCAGAAAGGGCGTTCCCGGCGAGGAAGAGGACGAAGCCCGACCTATCGCGGCGCTGAAGCGGGGCTTGGGGCGGGAGGCGCAGGGGCTGGC